GTAGGGAAACTGTTGTTAACCATTAGGTGTATTTTTAACTTAAAAATTGTGGTTTATTTATGGCACTGCTGGGTTACCTGTGCTGTCAATTTAATATGCAACTAAGCAAGTGCTAGTAACCCATGAGAGGTGTGTGTTACAGCAAATTCCCCTGTTCCCAGGAGGAATGCCTTCAAATATACTCCCTGCCCAGACAAGACAATGAAATAAAGTTTTGTTGATCAGACCTTAGTGTGCTGCTTGAACCTGGAGTTGACACTTTCTGTTGTGGTTGGCAGCAGGATCTATGTGGCTTCAGGTCCTTCATGTTGGGGCCTAATTTGTGCAGCAAAATTGATGGAGAAAGTGTTGTTAGGTGAGTTTTGTGTCTCCCTCCTGCTGCCACATCAGTGGAGGTTCCCTGGAAGGAGTCTCTTTAAGAAAAGAGACCACACTGCATCAAGTCTTGCATCAGAAAACCCTCTGGGCTGTCCAAGGTGAAACTTGAGGAGCCTTTAGAGGAGATGTAGGAGTTGCTTGTGAATTATTGATATTTAGCTGTGTTCCTGGGACAGCTGCCTGTTTTTCCCTCTCCACTGAGTTTCTCTTGGTTGAACAGGAGGACAGAAGGAACTGCAAACCCCAAGCCTGCTGTGGGGCTTCCCAGTTGAGGTGTGGTGGGCATTGTTTGGCCTTGCAAAACTGTCTTCCACACTAGGTATTTTTTCTGTAGTTGCTAATTGTATAAAATGTTAGTATCACAGAATGATTTGGGTTGGAAGGGACCTTAAAGATCATCTAGGTCCAACCCCCCTGCATGGGCAGGGACACCTCCCACCAGCCCAGGTTGCTCCAAGCCCCATCCAACCTGCCCTTCAACACTGCCAGGGATGGGACAGCCACAGCTTCCCTGGGCAACCTGGGCCAGGGTCTTTGGCTTTGTATAGAATGAAAATAAAGACAGCAGTGGGGTGGTGACTGTGGTGTGTTGAGGGGCAGTTTGTAGCCTGTGGCTGAAGTTAGTGAAGTTGGTGTAAAACGCACCTTTTCTCTCTAATGCAGCCCCAAGAGCAGTGTGTCTGTTGTAAAAAATCTTCTCCCATGTGCAAGTGCTGTGGTCTGAACAATTCAGTCTTAACCAAGCATGAAGGTGATGTGATCTAGTTCCCTTCTTTGGGAAATGAGCATTTTACTGCTTTTTTGTTACTCCTTAATGTGTTGATTTGGGACT